TCTCTCTCTTCTCTGCTGATATTAGAAGGTGGTGGTTTGGCGTTGCTGAGGCAGGCTGAAACTTTATTCCTAAGTTGCCTGAAACTCTCAGACTGAATAAGTCTCTTGGAGGAGAGATGAAACGTTTCATTAGGGAAGAACCCGTCCAGAAGACCTATACAATTTTTTTTCTTTTTGATTAATAAAACTTCTATTTTCTCCCAAAATGATGCAAAAGTGTTGAGTCATTTTTACTTTCTTTATTAGCTGGATGTCTGAAAATCTGTAGAAAAATCTTCATTTGATCCAAATGCCGCTCCTGGAGTTCTAATAAGAGTTAATCGGCAAAATCATGTTTCTTCAGTTTTAGTTTCTCTCCTTTAGCTTCTTGTCAAATTCAATTTTGAAAATCTTACTTCTAACACACAAAGCTCTCAACAACCAAGCTCCATCTCATATTAAAGATCTTATTGTTCCATATTTTCTTAACAGAGCACTTCACTCAGACTGCAGGTTTTCTTGTGGTTCCTAAAGTTTTTAAAAGTAGAATGGGAGGCAGAACTGTCAGTTCTCAGGTTTTTCTACTGCCGAATCAGCTGTGAGGCTGACACCCTGTCTACTTTTTCTTTTTGATAAATCCTGTAGTTAGAGTTTGCTTGAGTTTCCTGAGCTATCCCTTAGCATTGGAATACATTGAAAACAATAAGTTCATCTATCATAGCTGTGGTTTAGTCTGGCACATTAAAGATGGGAGCTGGAATAGTTATTTTACTTTCTTTTAAAAAGTATTTTCACATCCTAAAATCTGCTGACATCAACACTTGGGAATGTCTTCCTTCCTGACACAAGTCAGTTGTTTCTGCTCAGGGCGTGGCTTCCCTGTGTCACCTTCACAAAAGCCAAGAAGATCTCCACAAATTTTTCCACTTACTTACTCAATCATAGGTGTGAACAGGTGAAAGGATGGGAGCACATGATTGTTAAAGGTCTGCTTTGTGAAGACAGAATGCTGTTTTTTTCCTCTGGTTGCTCAGAGAAATGGAGAGGGAGAAAGAAAAAAAAAAGATGTTTGAGGACAGTTCTGGTACTTTTCCCACCTTTTCATGCCAGCCTCCTATAAATTGGACCAGCTCTGCAATGGGGCAAATTGAAGGTCTGGACGTTTGAAAGAAAGGTCTACTAGAACCTGCAGGCTACCTGGCAGCTATTTCACTCTACAGGGTAAGAATTTATTTTTGCTGATGACAGAGATGTTGTATGATAAAACAAGTTGTTTTGGTTCAGCAAGTTCAGGTGTGATGGCATGTTGAGTAATTTTATTTCTAAATTAACACAAATTTAGGAAATTTTAGTTTAATATTAAATGTTTTCAGTCATTGGTTAAATACAATGTACTGGTCTATTTTTAAACCCAGTAAGGGCAATAAGTTCTTTGCTTTTTAAACACCAGTCATATTTTTTATTGTTTTTAAGCAAATTGAAGTTGCTAAACAGAGCAGTGGAAATGAAAGTTAATTTACCAATCTGAGCCCCAATTAATTACGGAAACTTTATGAAAACCTTTTCATTCCCTGAGGTTAAAAAAATATCTATGTTCAGCATTTCCCCAGCTCTGTTGTGATTATGCAGATGCTGGGGGGAAAAAAACAACAATAACAAATCAACCTTTCCTGACAGAGAGAATGATCGAGTAACTAAGGGAATATTTTGCCCCAGGTTCTGTCTTTCAGGCTATTTACAGCTACAGCCAGACACACTAAAAAAGTAACCAAGGCAGATGTTTGGTTGACCTAAATATAAACATGTCTGCAGCACAAAAAAATTGTTGAGATTAGATTTTTTTAATTTCGTGAATATCAAACACTTAAAGGAACGTTAAATGAAATGCATTTCACAATTTCCCATCAACTATTGATCTCAATGAGGGTCAACATCATCATTAGTATAAACTCTTTTATTTTTTGTATTTCCTTTTTTATCATTGTTGTTTGTTTTCAATTGAACTGGGTTGGTTGAACAGTTATCCTTTGTCAGATTTTATTATCAGTCTCAGTTTTTATTCAGCCATGACTCAAACAAGGATCACAAATCACTTGGTCTCACCACAAGGTTTATTTTTGTTCCATTAAAATGTCTAACTCATAAATGAAAAAAAAAGAGATTAATAATTTGTTTTAGAAAGAGAAAATAAATTGACTCACTCAGTTAAAATGAAGCAGACTGTTTAAGTTGTAAAAAGAATCAGCTGTAAACGTCCACGTTGATTAAACAGACACATTAATTGGCAACATTGATGCTTCATCTGAAATAAAGAAGCATCAAATTTGAACTGTTTTAAAATTATGTTGATTCAACAAGTTGTGTTTAGTGGAAACAGCCAGATTTTGTGGCTGTACTGTAAACATGACAATGACAGTATTCAATCACTTCTAAGTGGAAAAGTACAGTGAAAGGACAAATTTCAACAACATACTGCAATACTGGTTTGGGGTAATGATTTAGAAAAATGTTGGCAGATTCCATTACAAAGGCAGGGTTAGGTATAGCTCCTGCTGTAATAGAGGTGTGCTAATCATGCAGGTTTGTTATAATGCTGTCATAATGTTTTGTTGGCCTCAGAGCCCGAGTCACTATTAAACCTTTTTACAGGCATATTTGCTTTGAGTCTATTCAAATTACGGCCACCATATCTTATTAATAACCCGTTACAATTTTACAGGCTTTATATTTTTACAGACGCTCCTAACCAATCCCTCAACAGAAATAAAATGGAGAATCACTCTGAGGACCCGTGGCAGAGGGCGTACGACTTTGCAGTTGAAGTGGCACGAAAAGCAGGAGAGGTACGACTTACCAGTTTTTATTTTCAACGCAACGCTGGGTGGACTAAACTTCCATTTCCTTTTTCAAGGAAAACTATTAACAAAAGATGAAAAAAAAAAGCCCTGAATTTGTAGGGGGATGATTAAGTCTGTCAGATAGCGGGGGCTGACCGTGTTCAAATATTCTGCAGGAAATTCGAAAAGCTGGCGAGAGTGAAATCAAAGTCATGACAAAGAGCTGCATCGTGGACCTTGTCACGAAGACAGATGAGAGAGTGGAGAAAATCATCATTGGGTCTCTAAAGGAGAAATTTGGAGAGGGCACACACTGGTGAGCCATGCAAACAGACACACAGACGAATGTTGTCATGTTTTTCTTTCTTTCTTTCTTTCTTTCTTTCTTTTGTGCAGCAGAGAGACAAATTACTCCATCATTGCTTGATATTCCTCATTGGTTTTTCTGCCTTCTTGGTACTGCAGCTTCATTGGAGAGGAGTCGGTTGCAAAGGGGGAGCCGTGCATCCTGACTGACAAACCTACCTGGATCATAGACCCCGTCGATGGAACCACAAACTTCGTGCATAGGTACAATGTTTGATAAATTGTATTTCATGCATCGTATTAGGAAAAAAAAAAATCAAAACCTTCTTTATGACAAAACTTAACATCATTAGCAAAACCAAAGTTGATATTATAAAAAGTAAACAAAGACATGTTTGGGTTTGTGATACGGTGGAAACCAGGTGTGAAATCTTTTAACAACGAAGACAATCAGTAGCATTCTCATATCAATGCAATTATCTTTTCCTCTCAGGTTCCCATTTGTGGCTGTGTCTATTGCCTTTGCTGTCAATAAACAGGTAGATCAAACACCAACCGATTTACAGTATTTATACATTTTTGTACTGGCTTTAATGACACCTTAATAACTCATCTCTTTTACAAGTTGGAGTTTGGTGTGGTGTACAGCTGCCTGGAGGACAAAATGTATAAAGCAAGAAGAGGGAGGGGGGCTTTCTGCAACGATGAACCCATTCAAGTGTCTGACGTAAAAGGTGGCAACGCTTTTAATATTTTCTATTATCTCGTGCCACTTTACACCAGCTAATAGATCAGGTATTATACTTTCTGAAGAAGAAACTATAGCCATCTTGGTTTGCTTTCCTTGTAGATATCCACAAGTCCATCATCATGTCTGAGTACGGAATTGATAGAAGCCCAGACAAAGTCAACAAGATCTTCACCACCATGCAGAAGATYCTCTGCATCCCAGTGCATGGGTAAGCTCCGGGTAAAGGAAGAGTGTGTTCCACATGAATAAATCAAGCATAATAAGTTAACACTGATGAGTTAAAACTCCATTACTGATATTTAACGAGTTGGACCAATTAAGCTTTTAATTTTTTTCAGCTAAAATCAAGCAAGTTGTGAAGTTTAGCGACTGTATATTGAATATACTCAGGCATTTCTTAGATATTTTGGAGAATTTATTATCTTTCTTAACATAAAAAGTGCTAATATAAAAACAAATCAATGCGCTAAAATGATAAAGTGTTGTAATAGCTATCAGCTAACAGGATAAATAGAGATAATAGCAGGCAATTAACGGTTTACAGTGGTTTACAGAAATGTTGTGGACACAATTAAATAAATCTGATCATGTTTACAAGACTAGCTTCTATAAATGACACTGAAAACATAACCTAAAGCCAAAAATATCTTGTTTTATTTATTTATTTTTTAGCATTTTCTGTAAGGTTAAAAAACATTTAAAAAAATCCAACATTCTGCATACTTTTTGGGGATTTACAGTAGTAGCCCCTTTTGATGCCAAATGACAAAAGAAATCCTATTGTTCAGTTTCAGTTGCATTATGATTTCAAACCGTTTTCCTGACTGCTGTGTCCTGCCAGGCTCCGAGGGTCAGGGACAGCTGCCACCAACATGTGTCTGGTGGCGACCGGCGCCGTCGAAGCCTTCTTTGAGATCGGCATCCACTGCTGGGACATCGCTGCTGGAGCAGTCATTGTTCAAGAGGCTGGAGGGATCCTTCTGGATGTTGATGGTGTGTATGCTTGAACACGAAATGGAGCTTAAAACACAGAATGAGAAGTTTGTCAATTTCTGTGGCTAATGCATGCAGTGCAACGCCTCTTGACAAAGATTTTGTTCAATAATTTAGGGGGACCGTTTGATTTGATGTCTCGGAGGATGGTCTGTGCAAACAATTACATCATCGCCAAACGTATCATCAAGGAAATTGATGTATTCACTGCCAGAAGAGATGGAGCTCCAATTCCAAAGCAGTGAGGGAACTCTGAAGGTCCACACTGAATTTCCACATACACTGGAGGGAAAAAAAACTGTTGCTTTTTATTTATATATTGCATATATTAAGTTACTGTGAGCAATCACCCTTGATTGCTTAAGTTTGAAAGCTTGATGTGATTCATTTTGTCCGTTTATATCATTTCCTTCTTCATTTGAAGCTTGGACTAAACGTGATTGCTCCATTGTGATCTGTATGTCAAAACATTTTGATTAAAGTGGGGGAGACGGCTGTAATTTTGTACTCAACTGTTTGATATTTTTTGCATATTTTYCCCCCACCTTTTTTCAAAAGTAGCCATTTGTCTGACCACAAAAGCATTTACTGCAAAAAATAAAAACCTTTTAATCAATTTTCATGTACTACATTTTGTTCTTGATTAACCTTAACCTTCAACACAGAAGCGTGTTACAAGGTACCTTTTCAAAAAACAAATTGCTGTTTTGATTAGATTTCAAATCAGGACGTTTTAATTTATTTCACTTACACGGCTTATAAAAACCCACCACTAGAGGTCAATGGTGCACAAGCAATAGGTCTCCTRGAAGGCCATAATTTCCTATAGTGGTCCTTTTAAGTTTTTAAAGCTGCATTGTTGCATACTTTATTGTATTTACAATGCTCTGGAGTGCATTCACTTGGTCTTACAAACACCTTTTCTAACCTAAGAGATGAGGAAAACGTACTAAAGACACGAAATTACTTTTAATATCTGTTAAGCATTGCATTTCCCCCCAGATGACTCCTAAAAAGGCAATTGTCTTTGACCACACAAGGTGTGGGGTGAGAGCTGAGAGCAAAAACACAGGATTACTGTACTGAACAAAGCAACAGGACCAACAATAGGAGCAACAGCAGCAGCAACAATAATAACAGCAGGAGTTTAGGTGAAGGAGTACCTGGGCGACAAGCTTATGAACATGTTTTCTCTGCTGCCCTTTCAACACGGTTTGATGAGACGGGAGAGGATTTAGTGGAGGTGAGATTTCAAGATGGCAAAACTTATTCACATCTGAGCATCATTAACACAACCATTCATTTATTTATTAAGAAAAGTTTCAACTTGCTTGAAGTATGGAGCTCATCTGGTGGCTTTGGATAAGAAAAAATTAACATGGCCAGAAAATAATTTTAATCAGTGTCTGTTTAAGAGATGCACATGTTTTTGGAGTCAGATTTTTTTTATTAATACACTATTTTTATTTTTAACTGTTCAAAACATATTATTATTATTATTATTATTATTATTTGGTATTTAATCCAAAGAGTATACCTCTATTGTTCAATCTAAA